CGCGTGCTCCCGTTTCCCGTCGGAGCGCTTCCGGTGAGTGTGACAGTGGTGCTGCCGCTGCAGCGCTGGCCTCATGCTGGGATCGGCGCGCTGCCCCGGCGCAGCGCGGGCCACTGCTCTGGATCTGACGCTCTCCTCGTCGTTGCCGCCCGGCTCCTTTCCCCTCCTCCGCATTCCACTGGTCCTCCTGCTCCTTCCGCTCCTCCTGTTGCTGATCCTGTTGCTGGTCCTCCTCCACCTCCTCCTCCTCCTCCTCCGTCCTCCTCCTCCTCCTCTTCCTCTTGCGCATCCCCCACCTCATCCTCCTGCTCATCCTGCTCCTCCTGTTCCTGCTTCTGCTCCTGCTGCTGCTCCTGCTCCTGCACCTCCTCCTCCTCCTCCTCCACCGATGTACACAGACCCCCCTCTCTGACTGCGTGAAACAACTGGGCCCTTAAACCAATTCCAGGTCCGCTCTGACTCCCGTCGGCCGGCAGAGAAAAATCAGCGCGGTGGGGAGGGATGGGCGAGAGGGGTTGGAAGTCAGATGTGGCGCGAGCGCACCTAGCTTGTTCCCCCTCTTCCCCCACCTAAACGAAAAGGGAGCAAGCCGCCGCAATCCGCTGATATCAACCATGTGGCATACTGAGGGAGAGGAGTGGGGGGGCAGGTGAGGGGAGGAGGGAGGGAAGGGGGCGGGGGGGGCAAAGGGAGGCAGGCGGGGAGGGAGGGGAAGCCATCCCTCATCTCTCCCCTTCCATCCTCCCCCTCCTGGTGTCGGCACTCCTGTTGGTCACGCCGCTCAGTGGGCGGGTCTGGAGCCAGACCAGGCTGGTCAGCAGCTTGTGTTCGAGACGAGGTCTGACCCGCCCCCTTCCGAGCTGGCCCGTCCGACCTGGTGCACCACCCTGGCCTGCGCTGGAGCAGTCCACTTCTTGACCGCAGAGCTGCACGGTGCTGGCATGATCGCCTGTACGCCCAGCAGCTGTTACACAGAGGTCCCACTTGGGCACCCCAGCAAGCCACGCGCGGAGCCTCCTCCTCCTCCTCCTCCTCCTCCTCCTCCACCCTGACTTCCTTACGAAGAACTCCTCCCCGTCGCACCCCGAGACGGGTCGGTAGGGTAGGCTGGGTCTTTCGCCTCAGACTTCCTCACCATCTACAACCCGAAACTTTACAAGTTGCAGCAGTTTCGCAAATGGAAGGCAGGCAAATTTCAAAACGTGGCTCTCGCCATAGCGCCGTACACATTCGTCTCAAAGGCTTGCAAGGGATTCACGGATTGAGGGCGGCTCCTTTTCAAAATGTGGCTCTCGCCGTAGCGCCGCACACATTCGTCTTAGAACTTCGCACGGGCGTCACGGATGGAAGGCTGCTCCTTTTCAAAATGTGGCTCTCGTCTTAGCGCCGCGCACACTCGCCATAACATTGTGCAAACACTTCACCGATGGAGAGCGGGCGCAGTTCGAAATGTGGCACTCGTCTTCGCACCTCGCACACACGTCCTAAAATGTTGCAAGAGTTTGACGGATGAAGGGCGGACGGTATTCAAGACGTGGCTCCCAACTTGGCACCGCACACAATCGTCTGAAAGTGTGCCAGGGCTTCATGGGTTGAGGCAGTTCCGTTGTTCAATGTGGCTCTCGCCGTGGCGCCGCGTACATTCGTCTCAAACGTTTGCAAGGGCTTCACGGATGCAGGGCGGCTCATGTTCAAGATGTGGCTCTCGCCATAGCGCCGCGCACATTCGCCATAAGAGGTTACACAAGTTTCTAGGACTCGTATGGCTGCGTGTTGCCACGATGTAGGACTGTCAAGGCGCAACGGTCACGTTGCTTCGCGGTGTTGAAGCCCCAGGGATGGTGTTCTGACAAGGTCCAGCGTCGCCAGGACGGAACAGTCATGTTGATTCGCGGCGCTGAAGTCCCAGAAATCGTGTTTGGGTAAGGCTCAGGATGTTCAAACGGCTGTCATCCAACGGGGCACATCCAGCAATGAGAACAAGCTCTGGCGGGGACCTATGAAGACGGAACTGGGACAGAACGTTGATTGCCACATCGTTGATGAATATCGGGTTCATCCTTGTCCTCCTCCACCTCCTCCACAGATCCTGCTCCTCCTCCGCCCTCCTTCTCCAGTCCTCCTCATTCTGCTCCTCCTCATTCCCCTCCTTCTCCTCCACATCTCCTGCTCCTCCTCCGCCCTCCGTCGCCCCTCCTCCACCTCCTCCTCCCCATCCTCCTCCTCCCCCTCCTCCTCATCCTCCTCCTCTTCCTCCTCCTCCTAGTCCTCCTCGTCCTCCTCCTCCTCCTCCTCTTCCTCCCCCTCCTCCTCCTCCTCATCGTCCTTCCCTCCTCCTCCTCCTCCTCCTCCTCATTCTCCTCCTCCTCCCTCCTCCTCCTCCTCCTCCTCCTCCTCCTCCCTCCTCCTCCTCCTCCTCCTCCTCCTCCTCCTCCCTCCTCCTCCTCCTCCTCCTCCTCCTCCTCCCTCCTCCTCCTCCTCCTCCTCCTCCTCCTCCTCCTCCTCCTCCTCTCCTCCTCGTCCTCCTCCTCCTCATCCCCCTCCTCCTCCTCCTCCTCCTCCTCCTCCTCCTCCTCCTCCTCCTCCTCTTCCGTCTCCTCCTCCTCCTCCTCCTCCTCCTCCTCCTCCTCCTCCTCCTCCTCCTCTATCCGAGCCCTCTATGTTCCGATTCCCCACCTCCTTCTCCTCTGCATGATCCACCCCCTCCTCCTCCTCCTCCTCCTCCTCCTCCTCCTCCTCCTCCTCCTCCTCCGCCTCCTCCCTCCTCCTCCTCCTCCTCCTCTCCTCATCATCATCATCGTCCTTCCCCTCCACATCCTCCTCCTCCTCCTCCTCCTCCTCCTCCTCATCCTCCTCCTCCTCATCCTCCTCCTCCTCCTCCTCCTTCTCATCCTCCTCCTCCTCATCGTCCCCTCCTCCTAATCCTCCTCCTCATCCGCGTCCTCCTCCGCCTCATCCTCCTGTGGTTTATCTTCCTCCATCCCCCTCCTCCTCCTCCGCCTCCTCCTCCTCCTCTTCCTCCTCCTCCTCCTCCTCCTCCGCCTCCTCATCAGCAGCAGCAGCAGCAGCATCGTCATCGTCATCGTCGACATCATGATCGCCAGCCGCAACATCATCATCAACATCAGCAGCATCATCCTCATCCTCATCATCATCATCCTCATCAGCAGCATCAACAGCATCATCATCATCGTCATCATCATCGTCATCAGCAGCAGCAGCATCGTCACCATCATCAACATCAGCAGCAGCAGCAGCATCATCATCATCGGCATCATCATACGCATTATCATCATCAGCAGCATCAGCATCAGCCTCATCAGCATCATCATCATCAGCATCACCATAAGCATCATCATCCGCAGCATCATCATCATCATCATCATCATCAGCAGCAGCAGCAGCAGCGTCATCATCAGCATCATCATCAGCCGCATCAGCATCATCATCATCGTCATCGGTCTCAACATCGACATCGTCACCATCAGCATCACCATCAACATCCACACCATCAGCATCATCATCATCATCATCATCAGCATCATCATCATCAACATCACCATCAACATCATCATCATCAGCATCATCACCATCATCATCAGCATCAGCATCATCATCAGCAGCATCAGCATCAGCATCATCATCATCATCAAGACCAGCAGCATCAACAACATCAGCGGCATCAGCAGCAACATCATCATCGTCATCAGCATCAACATCAACAGCATAATACTCATCATCATCCTCATCATCATCATCCTCATCGTCATCATCATCATCATCATCATCATCATCATCCTCATCGTCATCATCATCATCATCATCATCATCCGCATCATAGTCATCGTCATTATCAGCAGCATCATCATCGGCAGTATCACAACCACCACCACAACAACCATCATGGTAATCATCATCAGCAGCAGCATCATCATCAGCATCAGCAGCATCGTCAGCATCATCATCACCATCACCATCGTCACCACAATCACCATCATCACCAGCAACGTCATCATCATTAGCATCAGCATCACATCCACCATCACCACCACCATCATCAGCAGCCTTAGTATCAGCATCATCACCATCATCAGCATCACCATCAGCATCATCATCAGCATCATTGTAATCAGCATTTGTCAGCAGCATTGCCATCAGCATCATCAGCAGGATCATAAACATCATCATCCTCATCATTACCACCATCATACATAACAGCATCAGCATCATCATCATCACCACCAGCAGCAGCATCATCCTCAGCAGCAGCATTATCAGCATCGTCACATCATTATCGCTATCAGCTCTACCATCAGCATCATCATCATGATGATGATATTCATCACGATCATCAGCATCAGCATCATCATCATCGCCGCCATTATCAGCATAATCGTCATCATCAGACGCGTCATCATCATGGGTATCATCCTTGTCGACAGCATCATAAGCAGCAGCATCATAAACATCATACTTAGCATCATTACCATTACCCTCATCCGCATACTCAGCATCACCACAATCATCATCAGCAGAATCATTAGCATTATCATCAGCATCAGCAACATCATCAGCATTATCATCAGAATCCTGCTTATCCCTCTTCTCCTCCTCCTCCTGCTCCTCCTCCTCCTCCTCCTTTTCCTCCCTCTCCTCCTCCTCCTCCTCCTTCTCTTCCTCCTCCTCCTCCCCCTCCTCCTTCTCCACCTCCTCCTCCTCCTCCTCCTCCTCCTCCTCGTCCTCCTCCTTCTCCTCTTCCCCCTTCTCCTCACACTTCTCTTGCAATGTCGATCGCGGGCGTCCTCTTCGTTTCTGCGACGGTGTTCACCATCGCTCCTCCGAGTTCGTTGCAAGTCCTGCGCGGCCAGCCAGCAAATCGCAGAAAAACGAGCACAGCAGGCAGGGTGCGGATGAGGGCCAGCGGTTTCCCAGCGGCCGGCAGCGCGGAGCAGACCACGAGCCTCTGCGGCGGTCGCAGTTTTTAGCACGTGTCCCACGCCGACTTGTTTCGCGTTTTCCTGAGAACCCGAGAAGGGAAACAAAAGGGGGAGGCGGTGGTGGTGGCTCAGTAGGGGGAAAAGGGCGAGGAGGAAGAGGAAGAGGAGGAGGAGAAGCCACTCGCGCCAGACGGCGGTGGCATCATCAACGGAGATGATGATTGGATCTGTGGCGCTCCTCGCCCAGGGGCCGTTTTCCTGCCCCGGGGTCGTCAGACATGACTCAGGATGAGAAGCTGGCGCTGCGGGAGCTGGTGGAGAGCTCGAGGGACCCACCATTCAACACACGAAAAAATTATTTTACCCGAGACGCACCCTACCCAACTGCACCGAATGGCACCATCAACTGGCCGTTCCATACCGAAAAATGATCTTTCAGGATTACTGATCCCCTGGGGACGCTGGACATGAGGCCTACGCATCGCACGCCCTAGTGGACAGATACGAAGCAATGCCGGAAGAGGGTGAATGGAGGGGGGGGACAGGTTGACAACGGAGGCGATCACAACGACCGAGAGAAGAAAGGAGGTCAGGAGAGCAGGGGAAACAAATATATAGGAAGATGGCAACGTGGACGAACGGGATGCAGGGGACGGCATGGGGGTGTGGAGATGACGTAGGGTTTTCTCGTACATTGGTGCTGCAAGAAGGGCCCCTGGTTAAGACACATGGTGTGCATTGTCTTCTTCCGCGCAGCGCTCCGCGCAACCGATACGAATCCATAGGCGCGGCGCCAGGTGCACCGAAGTCCCCTGGGCGACAGCATCCAAAAACAGGTCGCGGATCACGGGCAAGTTCTCTGAGGTCGTGGCCTCGGCCAACATGACGCACATGTGCAGCCAAAGGTCGTCCATGACGCAAGCGTCTCAGTGGCCCACGAAAGTGGGCCACAACTTTTGTTGCCGTAACTACGCGGTAGGCAGCCCCCCCGAAAAGGTGGGGGGGCCCAAGGGGCCGCGAGGTCTCGTCTGGAATCGCATACATGTCAACCCCGCTGGACCACCCTGGAGCCAGCAGAAGTGGCGATCGTTGCGCAGTTGGCAACCCCACAGGCAACAGCAAGGTCTCGAATAGATATTTAAGGGAGAGAGAGAGAGAGAGAGAGAGAAAAAAAAAAAGAGAGAGAGAGAGAGAGAGACACACACACACACATGTGAGCGTCTGTGCGTACACATCCACCCCGTGGGACCTCTCACGAGCTCACGAAAATGACGACAGCTTAGCAGTTGGCCGCCCCGCACGGAGCCGCGAGGTCTCGCCTGGATGTGCGTACAACTCCACTCCGCTGGACCTGCCAATAATAATTCACTAAAACGGCGAGAGCTTGAAACACTAGACGGAAAAGCCCGCTCAGTCATAGCTTGAGCCACCGAGGCTAAACCTGAGAAATCGGATACGGTACACCGAACGACGACGATCACGATGACCCACCCACCCACCCACCCACCCACCCACCCACCCACCCACCCACCGACGGCGGCGGCGACGGTGGCGACGATGGCAGCGCCGACGGCGGCCACGTCTGCGACGACGACGGCGGGGGCGACGTGGACGACCGTAAAATTCAAGAAGCCGGAGCGTCGTAAAATCTACATTCTAGAAGACGTGGGCCTGGGAAAATGCTTGAACGCCTTCTCGGGCGGGCGGAGGGGGGGCTTGCGGCGGGAGCTGCTGCAACCTCCACCACTCTCACGGTAACTCCCCGGCGTGCACCACCTCCACTCCTGAGGCTCCCCGGGCGGCCCCATTGTCCCCTGGGTCTCTCCAAGGCTTTCCGAGACGGCCCAGCAAGGCCACCAAGGACGACGAGATGGCAAAACATTGCCCCAGCAGGCACCCAACAGCTCCCACGAAGACCTCAAGAAGCGCCAAACTGCCCCAAAAGGCTCCCACGATTAGGGAAGCGTGCTCTGCACACCGACGCTATTTCCGGCCATGCACTGACTCGCACTGGAAAAATGATCCCGTTTTTTGCTCCCCGGGAAAACGGGGAAACGAGTACACAACCCCGACGTCGCCCCAAACCCTCAGAGAGTCCTGGGATTGAGAAACAGCCCGCCACCAGCAATGCATATGCTCCAGCTTCCGGAGAGGGGCCGTGGACAGCCCAAGAGCTCCCCCAGAGAGTCCCAGAACGCCCCCAAGAGTCTCCAGTGACGGCCCCAATATGCACGGTTTCCCCCGGGGCCGTAGGCGACCCGAGGAGAAGGAGGAGGGGGGGAGGAGGAGGAGGAGGAGGGGGATGGGGAGGAGATGGATGAGGAGATGGATGAGGAGGAGGAGGAGGAGGAGAAAGAGGAGGGAGGAGGAGGAGAAGGAGGAGGAGGAGGAGGAGGAGGAGGGAGGAGGAAGAGGAGGAGGAGGGAGGAGGACGAGGAGGATGAGAACGGGTCGCCTAACCCCTTCGGAGAAACCCTCCACCCCAAGAGAGGAGAGACGCCCGAAAGACGGCCGGGACCCGGCCCCCCCCCAAGACGGCGCCAAGACGGGCCCCAAGGTCGTGCTGCCGCACCGTGGCCGCTGCGGAAGTCGGACCTCGGACCCCTTCCGAGCCCCGAGATTTGCAGCTGTTCTTCCGAAGCGCTGCTTTGTTCACGCTGCTACAGAGTCCAACACATATATAGATATATATATATATATGTACACATACATACATATACATATACATATAAAAATCCAAATATTATATGTTATTTAGTTAGGTGTGTATATATATACCACAAAAAACAAAAACAATAAGCCCTCCGCCCCAGCCAGACGCCCGGATGCCTGGCTTCGGGGCCTCCCGGATCTTTGGTCTCGGGTGCCCCTGGACGCGTCTGCGGGAAGGTTTCCCGGAATTTCTGGGGCCTCGCGACGTCCCTGCTGGGCCAGCGGCGGCTCCAAGAGGCCCCCAAGTCGGACCGAGATGGCCTCCAGCGGCGCGGGACCCCCGCCAGACGCCCAAAGACGGCCCAAATACCACCACCAAGAAGCTTTCGAAACGCAAGAAAGGTTGATTTCCCGACGGGGTTTGTATGATTTTGGGTTACTCGGCTATTCGGTCTTCTGGACGTCCGAGCACGCCCGAGAGGCACCGAAAACCGCTCCATGACGATCAAAAAAGGATTCCTAACAGCCCGCGGGAGCCCAAAGACGACCCAAGAGGGCTCAGAAACTGCCCACAGAGGGCCCCATGACGGGCAGAAATTGCCACAGGACGCCTTCCAGAAGCAATCAAACTGTAACCCGAGACCACGATTCGCGGCATGGTGGCCTGAGGAACTCCCCAGAGGCCGCTAAAAGGCGCCAAGGACGTCTCCAGAGGCGCCCAAGGAGCCTCCGTGAACAAATCCGAAGAGTACGGGGGAGAATTCGCGGGGCAATGAAGGCGAGAACGACGAAGAGGAAGAGGAAAAGGACACATTAGGGAAGGAGAAAGAACAACAACATAATAGCGGTGATGGCGAAAACCGCAATCAAGAGCGATCGCTGTTTTGGCTGACATACCTGTCTCTCGTTCTGCCTGCATGTTCGACGTGAAGGACGTGCAGTCGTGTGTATATTTATACATAAAGATAAACACATATTTATATATATTATACATATAAACACAAATACATACACAATATATATATATATATATATATATATTGTATATTATATATATATATAATATATATATATATATATATATATCTCGTGTCCTTTTCTTCCTCCTCATCCTCCTCCTCATCCTCCTACTCCTCCTCCTCCTCCTCCTCCTCCTCCTGCTCCTGCTCCTCCTCATCCGCAAATTCATCATCGTTCTCCCTCCTCCCTCCTCCCTCCTCCCTCCTCGCTCCTCTTCCTCCTCCTTCTCCTCCTCCTCCTCCTCCTTTGATCCCCTCAATGCCCCTCCCATGTCCAACAAGACGATTTGTGCTTCGAATGAGGTCAGCTCATACCGCGAGATTTGCAGCTGAACATGAGAGGCGTTGAGAGCACTTGGCAAGCTCTCCCCAGCTCATCCTCCTCACCTCCTCCTTTCCCTCGTCTCCCAACTCCCCCTCGTCATCCTCCTGCCCCGTGGCTCGTATCCACACCTAAGCACTCAGAACCCTCCTCATCCTGCTCCGTTTCTCCTCTTACTCACCCTTGCCGCATGCTGATGGCGAGGCCCTGGAATGAACTCGCGTTCTTCGATCCGCATATGTATGTACATAAACGGATGCGCATACGTATATATATATACTAGAACCATCGCGCGCGCTTCGCGCGCGCTCAAGTTCTAGCTAAGATAATCGTAATCGTCATCATCGCCATCATCATCACCATCATATCCGGCGTCATCGTCAGCGGCATCGTCATCATCACCATGACCATCACCATCATCACAATCGTCACCATCACCACCATCAGCAGCAACATCGTCATCACCATCGTCATCATCGCCATCGTCGTCATCATCGTCAATATCGTCACCTGAATTATCAACATAATCATCCTCATCATCGACATCGTCATCATGATCGTCGTCGTCGTCGTGATCGTCGTCATCGTTATCGTCATCATCATCGCCATCATCTTTATCATCCGCCCACTCCTCCATCACAAGCATCATAAACAGCATCGGCACCATTATTATCAGCATCGGCGTTATCATCCTGACCATCAGCAGCATCATCATAATGATCGTCAGCATCACAATCCTCAACGGCATCACCGTCATCGTCATCATGATCGTCAGCATCACCACCATCATCATCACCACCATCACTCACATCATGACCACCATCATCAACATCATCATCATCAGCATCATCATCATCGTCACCATTCCCACTGTCAACATCATCAGCATAGTCTTCTTCCTCATCATCAGCATCAGCATCAGCATC